AATTTTTTTTTCACTGAATTAAGACATTGTAAAGACAATGTAGCGAATATAATCAATTAATAAATTTGAATATAAAGAATTTTTATATGGTAGAAAAATAAAGACAATATAACTAATACAATTATTTCTCTTATTTAATTTATTGATAATGAATAATTTTTTTTCGAATAAAGGCATTGTGGACACATAATTCTAAATTTTTTTTTTTGAATGTTACTGGCCCTATTACATATCTATAATTTTTTGTTGTAGCTACTAAATTATTATTTATATAATTTAATAAGAGTAAAATAGAGTACTAATTATGCCAACTTTGATTGGGATGAGGTTTGAACCTAAGACATTTTTTTTTATTGAAATCAATGAGTAAGTTAACGGTGAACTGACGGCAATTCTTAAAATTTTAACGGAATTAGTAACGGTGTGCGGGTATTTTAGGAATTTTTAGTGTAAAATTTAAATCTTATTAATCTTTTAGTCAATCTGAGCCATTCATTTAATTAAAATCTGTGAGCGCCATTTTTTTTACCCATTATAGGCCTAACTCTCTTGGGCTCTTATTAGTATAGTAGATAGTAGATAATATATATATATATATATATATATATATATATATATATATATATATATATATATATATATATATATATATATATTGTGTGCGTGGGTGTATAATCATTTCCAATGTCATCAGTTATAATTGTTGTATTGCAAGTTTGTTATTAACCTTTGCAGACCTTAGCTCGCAGGAACAGTGAAACAAAGAGCAGTATGAAGAAAATAAAGAAAAGTGAGAAGAACAATTTTATTGCCTTGCTATATGTCAAACTTCTGTACATGAATACAATAATATATAGAGTACAAATGTAACCTTCTCATTAAGTACAAAAACTGTTTCTGCTGTTACAAATTATCATAATAATGTCCATTAAGATTTTGATTTATAACACTCCCCCTTGGACATTATTTTGCCATAATCATGCCTCGTTAAAAAATCGCTAGAAAAACCCTGTGGGAAAAACCTAGTCGAGAAAAGAGTACACGATTTATGGATAATGCATGTGTTGCTTCGGTTGCCTCATTAAAAACCTTACACTGAGAAAACCCTGTGGGAAAAAACTCAGTTAAGGGAAAAAGAGTACAACCGTAAACCTTCTGGGTTTAGGTATAAATCATAAGAGTATGTCTTTGATCTTCTGGATCGAAGTGAATGAGTTAATCTTCTGGACTAACAATTTCATTACTTTGAAGATGTTGTTGCTCCCCCTGAAGACAACAACCTTCCTAATCTACGCATACCAATTTTATATACATACTTTTCAAAAGTAGATGTAGGTAAGGACTTAGTGAATAAATCTGCTAGATTTTCACTTGATTGGATCTTTTGGACTCGTATTTCACCACTCTTCTGGAGTTCATGTGGATAAAAGAATTTTGGTGTAATATGTTTGGTGAGATTACCTTTAACATATCCATTACTCATTTGTGCAACACATGCTGCATTGTCCTCGTACAGGACAGTGGGGATCTTTCCATTATTCATTATTCCACACGAGTCTTGAATATTGTGTATTAATGACCTCAACCATACACATTCTTTGGAGGTCTCGTATAAGGCAATAATCTCAGAATGGTTTGAGGAGGTAGCTACTAATGTTTGTTTAACTGATTTCCATGAAATAGCAGTACCTCCAGAAAGAAACACATATCCAGTCTGAGATCTAGCATTATGCGGATCAGACATAAAGCCAGCATCCGCGTATCCCACTAATGTGGTGTCTTGGTTTCTTTTAAATAGAAGGCCAAGATCCTTTGTACCTTGCAAATATCTGAGGATATGTTTTATGCCATTCCAATGCCTTCTGGTTGGAGCAGCACTAAAACGAGCTAGCATGTTTACTGAAAATGCAATATCAGGTCTAGTGCAGTTGGCAAGGTATAGAAGTGCTCCAATGGCACTTAAGTAAGGAACTTCTGGTCCCAGAATATCCTCATTATCCTCTTTAGGTCTGTACGGGTCCTTATCAACTTCAAGTGATCGGACTACCATTGGAGTACTAAGTGGATGGGACTTATCCATGTAGAATTTTTCCAATAACTTGTCTGTGTATTTGGATTGGTGTATGAATATTCCTTCAGGGAGGTGCTCGATCTGCAGGCCGAGACAGAACTTGGTTTTTCCCAAGTCTTTCATTTCGAATTCCTCCTTTAGGCACAAGCATGCCCTCTTGACGTCCTTGCTCGTCCCTATGATGTTTATATCATCTACATAGATTGATATAATACAGAAACCATCAGTTGATTTCTTTGTAAAGATGCAAGGACTAATATCTTTATTTTCATATCCTTGTTTTAAGAGGAATTTACTCAATCGACAATATCACATTCTTCCTGATTGTTTTAAGCCATATAATGACTTTTGTAGCTTTACGCTGAACATATTTTTATTTGTATTTCCTTTACATAAAGGATTTTGGATGCCCTCAGGTACTTTCATATATATGTCAGCGTCTAGTGACCCATATAAATATGCGGTTACAACATCCATTAACTGCATTTCTAAATTCATTTTTACTGCCAGCGATATTAGATAACGGAACGATGTGCCATCTAAGACAGGAGAGTAAGTTTGTTCAAAATCTATTCCGGGTCTTTGTGAGAACCCTTGAGCTACCAGTCTCGCTTTGTATCTGACCACCTCATTTTGTTCATTCCTCTTTCGTACAAATACCCATTTGGATCCTACTGGGATCACGCCTTTAGGGGTAAGTACAGGAGGACTAAACACTTTTCTTTTATTTAGCGAGTTGAGCTCAGCCTCAATTGCTTCTTTCCATTTCAACCAATCGGAGCGCTTCCGGCACTCCATTATAGTTTTTGGTTCTGGATCCAGATTATTGAAAGAAATGTGAAGAGCAATTGTAGAGGCGAATTGGTCGTCGACGACTGTTACATTTCTATTAAGATTTTCTCCTGTTTCGAAAAAGTTTATGGCAGATTCTATATTTACTTCAACCAAATCTTTCTCATTTGCTATCATATCTTGGTGAAGGTGTTCCGTATTCCCAGTGTTAGATTTATTTGTAGCACGTGCATTTACACTGGGTATTTCGTCTTCAGGACGATTTTGGAGTAACTGTGATTGTTTATTGTTTTTAATTTTCCGTGGATTTACATCTTTTGCACCAACTGGTCTTCCACGCTTCTGGCGTCGGATAGTGTCGGTGTTATTATTTGGTCCTTTGGGGACAATTATCCTTGATGGAGCATTTTCTGCAGGAATATAGGACCTAGTTACTCTTTTATAATCAGTAAACGCATCTGGCAGATTATTTGCTAGTTTTTGCAAATTTATTATTTTCTGAACTTCAAGTTCAGTTTGACTAGTACGTGGGTCAAGATATTGAAGATCTTTTTCATCCCATGAAATTTCGTGGCATTTTTTCAAAACTGGGCTTTTCTCTCCCCCTAATGCCGGGAAATGATCTTCATCAAAAATGCAGTCAGCAAACCGTGCATTAAACTGATCTGCTGTCATAGGCTCGAGGTATTTAATGATAGAAGGCGATTCATACCCAACATAAATACCTAATCGACGTTGCGAGCCCATTGAAGAACGATGCGGAGGTGGTATAGGTACGTAAATCGCACAGCCAAAGACATGCAAATGAGAAATGTCTGGCTCATTACCACGTACAAGTTGTAGAGGGGAATAATCGTGATATGCAGTTGCCCGGAGTTGAATTAGGTTTGCAGCATGCAGCACTGCGTGTCCCCAACAATTTACTGGTAGACTGGACCGTTGCAGTAATGGTCTAGCTATTAGTTTAATTCTTTTGATAAGAGATTCAGCTAAACCATTCTGGGTGTGGACATATGGTACAGGATGTTCCACCTTAATTCCCATGGCCATACAATAATCGTCAAAAGCTGACGAAGTGAATTCACCAGCATTATCCATTCTTATGTTCTTAATAGGATAATCGGGAAATTGGGCATTCAACTTAATGATTTGGCTCATGAATTTTGCGAATGCCATATTTCGAGTGGACAACAAACACACATGTGTCCATCGGGTGGAAGCATCAATAAGGACCATAAAATATCGAAATGGTCCGGATGAAGGATTAATTGGTCCACAAATATCACCCTGTAGCCTCTGCAGGAAGACAGGTGACTCAAAATCAATCTTAGGACGTGAGGGACGAACAATAAGTTTTCCCTGTGCACATGGAACACATGTGTAATCTTTTGTAGAAAGAATGCTTGTCCTAAGAAGGTTATGTCCAGTTGAATTTGAAAGAATCCGGCCTATCATTGTTTGCCCAGGGTGACCTAAACGGTCATGCCATAGACTGAAAGAATGTGTATCTTTAAACTTCACTGCGAGTGCAACGCAGGAGTGCTGGGGCCTGATATATGAATAATACAGGCCTGAAGAAAAGGAAGGAAGTTCTTCAATTTCCTTTTTCTGGTTATTGACCGTTTTGGTCAAAACAAGGAATTCGGTATTGTTTTTAGTTTTAGTTTCTATGTGGAAACCGTTGGACCGAATATCCCTGAAACTGAGCAAAGTTCTTTTTGATTGAGGATATAGGAGGGCTGAATCAATGATCAACTTTGTTCCATTAGGAAGAATAAGTGAAGCTCTACCGGAGCCCACAATAGGAATGTCATCATTCGCTATGGTTGAAAGGTTGCCTTTGTGTTCCTTGAACGTTTGAAAAAATCTTCGGTCTGTCAGAATAGTGTGCGTAGTCGCACAATCAACCAAGCATAGGGCTGATTCGTCTCCCATATCTCTAAAGAAAAAGAATGGGTATCAAGATAATGTCTAAGAATGATCCATTGTATTTATTCAAATAGAACAGAAGTGTTCAAAGATAAAGGATCCGTTATTCATATAGGACAAAAGAGTTCAAATATAAACATGCACGCAGGCATGAAGTAAAATGGATGTTCATAAGGGAAAGAGAGAGAGAGAAAAAAAAAAAGGAGTATCACTCCTGATCTCCATAATCAGCTAGTTCATCGCCTAGCAGGTCATCATTCCCTAAGATGAGGGCATTTGCTTCAGGCAAAGATGATTGCCCAGAATCTTTCTTCTTTTGTCCTCCTTCCTGCTGTAGCATCTTTTGGTAAGCCTCGACCAGATGCTTAGGAGTCCTGCATGTCCTAGACCAATGTCCTTTGCAACCACATTTATAACATGGCTGCGACTGACCGGAGTTCTGTTGTGACTTGTTTGGTCTATTTCTTTGAGTTTGCTTGTTCTGAGGACGGTAGTCACTACCGCTAGCTCCCCCTCTGCCACCTCGCTTTAGGCCCCTGCCACGACCTCTCCCCCTACCCCGGCCTCGACCCCGCCGATTGTTGCTCTGCTGGGCAACAGTGTGTGCTTCAGGCATAGGAGCAGCGCCAGTTGGACGCGCATTGTGATTTTGCATCAATAACTGGCTATGCTTTTCCGCCACTAGTAAATCCGTAATGAGCTCTGGATGCGTATCATATTTTGTATTCTTGTACTGCTTCTGGAGCACAAGGTCATTTGGATGGAACGTGGATAGAGTTTTTTCAATCAGATCCTCGTCCGTAATTGTTTGCTTACAGAGCTTCAATTGTGACACAATTTTGTGTAGGGCGGAGTTGTATTCAGTCACAGACTTAAAGTCTTGAAATCGGAGGTTAAGCCAATCATGTTGGGCCTGGGGGTGGACCAATGACGTCTGTTGGTCAAAGCGTGCCTTAAGAGATTTCCAGAGGACATAGGGGTCTTTTTCTGTTAAGTATTCATTCTTGAGGTCGTGGTTAAGATGGTGGCGGAGGAAAATGAGCGCTTTCGCCTTCTGGGCTGCAGTGCTCGTAGATGTCTCTTCAATGGTGTCCAGCGGTTCTGTAGATTGGAGATATATCTCAACATCAAGTGCCCAAGTGAGGAAATTGTTTCCATCGAGGGCGAGTTCAGCGAATTCTCGTTTTGCGAGAGCAGCCATTTCTACAGAAAATATTTGAATGAGGACCATAAAAAATGGAATGTGTGGCCTAGTTTATTTCAATAAACAAAAGGCCCAAAGAAAATATTATATATCATGCCCCAAAAAAATGGTCCAAATAAATTAGGGGCTTGAATGAGAAGAAAAAAAACGCATCTGCGTTTATTTACATTGAAAAGGGAGGGGAAACCACCGCCGATTAATTAGGCAATAAAATAAAAGCCTTATTTTTCGATTAAACCGAAGGGGAAGGGTAAGCGACGAAGGGAAAACGACAAAGCTTCCGCCAAGCGCCACCGTCGATCGCCATTACCGCCGGAGCGTCGAAGAACTACCGTCGGCCACCATACGAGGAGCGTCGGCCATCAAGAAACAACGCCCACTGCCGTTGATCGTTACCGCGGCCATCGTCTCCACAACATATCACCGGTCGCCGCTACCACGGAGGAAACAGCTTCGCGATCCACCGCCGGTCAGACCACACCACCGCCGATCTCCGAGAGGATCGCCGCCGCCGCGAACAAACGTCACCGCAACCAGGTATTAAGTCCGAAAAGAAAACCATATATTATCGTTTTTGGTTGATGAAAATTTCGATTTTGTTTGTAGTTCGAGAAAACAATTAAGGTTCTGAATATATTCTCTTATTCAGCAAATCCATTCTCATATTATGGATTTTGTTTGTACTCCAATCCAAGGTTTTCCCAAAAAAAATTTTTAATACGAAACATATACATATACGCAATATGTAAAAGAAATACCGAAAAAAAATATATTTTTGAGAAAATCGTAAAGCATATGAGATAATATAAATACCATTTTTTGTGTGTGTATTTCGAAAAGCAGATCAAGTCAATGTAGCAGGTATCTAGACAACTATGATTAATACGGGAAAGAAAAATGTATATCATGCATTCATACCATACGAATTGTCTAAAAAGCATATAATTCAAGAAATATATCCACTGATCATAAAAATGATAGTATATGCAGTTGCATGTAGCATTTCAGGATAATGATAAAAGTTTCTAGCATGCTTTAAACGAGTATAACGTGCATTAGAATAACATAAAATTACCGTTCACCAAGTTTGAGCGTGCCGATAACGTGTTGTATTGCAAGTTTGTTATTAACCTTTGCAGACCTTAGCTCGCAGGAACAGTGAAACAAAGAGCAGTATGAAGAAGATAAAGAAAAGTGAGAAGAACAATTTTATTGCCTTGCTATATGTCAAACTTCTGTACATGAATACAATAATATATAGAGTACAAATGTAACCTTCTCATTAAGTACAAAAACTGTTTCAGCTGTTACAAATTATCATAATAATGTCCATTAAGATTTTGATTTATAACAATAATAATATTATTATGATGCTGTATCCCACAAAATTTGTAAAGCCATATTCTAGTTCTAGTGTGAATTATTAAGGAGTTAATTGTAACTTTGATACATTTATCATTCAAAGTTTTAGTACATCTAAAAATAGTTACAAATTAATTTATGATGTTCTATCTAAAATCATAAATTTGTGTAGTATCTCATGATCCAACAATGTTGAGTTTTAATTAATTCAAAATTGAGCCATTAGCGAACTTATTTTCGACTAAGCTCTCCCGCATGCATTTGTCAAATTATTGAATTATTCCATGGATCAAGGTGGACTCGGGTCCAAAGATATACAATTTACATACTAAATGTTCACAATTTATCTTTTAAAAATTCAAAATTTGTGATGACATTGTATTGTATTCACAAATTTTCAAAATTTAGAAACACAATTTATTTTCTAGGATGTTCGAAATTCCCAATACTAAAAATACACAATTTAAGGTCAGGTCCACCTTGCAAGGTGGACTATGGTCCATGGTATAACAACTGCATACATTTTGTAACACCCCCCAAAAACAACAAGGCCCAATTGAAGCCCTAACACAAGCAGATTAACAACAACACTAGCACAGCGGAAGATAAACGGAAACTGGATAAAAGAAATCCAAAAAAAGAGGTGTTATGCCACGTATACCACACTAGGTAACGCTAAGGCAACAATCTACAAGTGTATAAAACTATCCCAATACATCAATCTAAAACAGTCTAAAAACATTGGCGCACAGGCCACAAAAACACAAAGGATCTAAGCTACCAGGCTCTAGACATCGCTCTCGTCAAAACACCACCTGAAAGATACAAAGATAAACATTGGGCCGACGCCCGGTCAGCGAATAATGCTGGTAACCCACCAATACCGTTAAGTATCATAAATAGGTAGATATAAGATATAAAAACCATTTTCGAAACGGAATACATATATATAAGTCAAAAGGCAAGATCACCAGTCAACACAAGACTCATCACTCTCAAGACCACACGTGAACACATCCCAAACCACAAAGGTTAACCACACACAAGGATAAAGACTCACCCAACGGCAACACATGCCAAAACAACACAAGCCTTCGTGACTACACATGTCACGAGAGAAGATCACACAACGCCGGCTTTACAAGCCCTCGCAACATCACCCATCACGAGTTGCTATGCCTTCCTTATGCCCTGTTCCAACCTTATGGCTACCCCCAACCTTGTACCTTCTTTCCAACCATTACCTCCAAGATCCCCTGTACAGCCAAGTCCAACCTTATTCCGCCGGGACCGTCGTCCCCCACCTATAACCACCAACGAACCACCACCAATCACGACAACACATACCCGGATAACACATGTTATCCCCCAATCACGTGGACCCATCACTCAGGCCACAACTCCATAATCATGCCACGGCCACCACGAGGACCGCTGCAATACCTTGGTGACTAGCGTCCCATACCACTAATCGTGCAATCCAGGTAGAGCCACACACGTACCACAACTCAACAGGAATCAATCAAAGGATTGCAACGAAGGTATGAAACACACTCAATCAAGGAACGGGTCACAACCCAACAACAACAAAGATGAATAACACAAGTTATCATCAACCAAACGGAAGGTACGAACAACACATACGCTAGCATTAAGACAACAAACTAGCATGCTCATCAACAAGGAAACTCAAGATAGTTCCGAGGAACACACAAGACACTTCTTGGTTCAACGAAACACAATGTTGAACACTTAGCACGATCCAAGACACCAAAGTCCTACATGGATACCTACCATATAGTTCTAGACCTACGGAACATCAAGAAGACACTCAAATAGTTCCACACAAGAACATCGGGAAGCCAAAAGATCAAATACCAAGACAACCGAATCACGGGGAACAAATCCCGAACGAACACCATCGTGTTCCCCGCGGGTGGACCCACGGGTAGGCCCCTACCCGTGGTTCTACCCGCGGGTACAACACCCACATTCCCATGTACCTGCGGGTGGGTGGCGGGTAGGGCTCTCCCCGCCGTTCCACCCGCGAGTACATGCTCCTGTGTAAATAATCCCTTCGGGGATTTTCTTCTCCAAACACAAATTCAAGTCCAAAACACACCAAATCTCACCAAACACAACAAAATGACTTGAACCATTGAAAATGCCAAGCAATGGCACAAGGGAACCCTAAACACAAGCTCTAGATATGCAATATCACAAGATAAATGCATAAAACCCTCACATTTCATAGCAAGAACAAGTAGAATCCAAGAAATCACATATAGGTAAGCAAAATAGGTTTTGTAGAGCATGAGTTACCTCTTGAAGACCAAAAGACTTCACTTTACACCACAACAAGCTCTCCACTAGGCTCACTTCTTAAACCCACTTCAAGATCAAACCAAAAGATCATAAAGATCCTACTTTTAAGAAAAGACAACTAAGATGGAACCAAAAAGACTAAACATGCTTAGATCTTACCCTCCTAGATGCCCAAATAGGTGAAAGGTTGAATCTTGGAAGCAAAGCTTGAAATCTTGATAAGGGTCTCAACTTGGCTTGGAGAATAAGCTACACTTCTTTTCTAGAGAGAAGGTAAAGATATTTTTCTAGGAATTGTAAGGAATGAAATGAAGAAGTCTTCTAGGTTAGGATACAATACTAACTCTTGGTGAAAAGACATGGCTACCCTTACTAACCCTTAGAAAGTGTAAGGAACAAGGGAACTCCTCTCTAAGCACAAGGTACAACACAACTTAAAGATTGACTAGTCAAATTCTAGTCCTTGAGTATTAAAAATCAGGATTTTAGGAATCAATTCCTCAAAAGAATTAGAATTAATTACTCAATTAATTCATGGATTGGAGTGTGGATTTTTGGGGTGTCACATCCTCTCCCCCTTCAAAGAAGTTTCGTCCCCGAAACTTGGGTACAACGAATTGAAAGCAAATGGTAACAAGGAAACGAAATTGTGACAAGAAATTTCAAGAACAACTCTTTTGGTCAAAACTCCAAAAGTACTCACAAGGGTTCCAAAGCAAAGAAGAAGACATTACGAATTCAAGGATTGGTCATGAGTTAAAAGAACGGATAGATTGAGCATCAAGAACTCTAACCTCAACACAACAACCAACTTCTAGACAACAACTAAGAACTCAACAACTAACCCCAAACACCAACTAACACACTAGCTAAACAACAAGGCAACAAGCAAAACAAGCAAGCACACAAAGCACACAACAACCTAGGAAAACGAGGTACCTTCCACAAACAACTCAGGGTACCGCTCCCGCATCGATGACTCCAGCTCCCAAGTAGCTTCCTCAACCCCATGGTGTGACCACCAAACCTTCACCATCTTAACAGATTTCCTACGAGTATCCCGAGTCTTGAAGTCCAAAATTCTGAGCGACCTTTCTTCGTAAGACAAATCTTCATCTAACGGTATCACTTCTGGTGGTAAAACATGAGCCGGATCGTGAACATATCTCTTAAGCTGCGATACGTGAAACACATTATGCACTCTATCCAACTCCAAAGGCAGCGCCAAACGGTAAGCCAAACTCCCAATCCTCTCCAGGATTTCATACGGGCCTATAAACCTAGGGCTCAACTTCCCTTTCTTCCCAAAC